TAAAAGCTCTCCTTGGACCTCTGTTATTCGCAAGATTATGGTTTAGACTGCAATAGTTCCAGAATTGGCAAATAAAAAATACCGATGCCCTATATAGTTTTGAAATGGTTAAGACTACCAGATGCAGTTTAATGCTGACAAATGTAAGGTTTGGGGGCTAGGTAAAGATGATAGATGGTGTAGATTGTTAAGAGTATTAAATTTTTTGCAGGTGGTAAATTGTCCCCGAGCTGGCACTGCTCTCCAGCCTGGGATGTTGATTGGTTAGTCTTCAATTGCCTCCCAACATGGTACTGAGGTCCTGAGCTGACATGCAGTGAGGAACGTGGAAAGCTTCCTGAATTGGCACATGGTATGCCTCCCTTTCAAACCAGCAGCTGGCACAAATGTTCCAGCTAACATCAGAATAGTGGATGAAGCCCACACTAAAATGTAAGTGGTACAGTAAATGGACCCCCCCCCTCCCACAAATCACATTGTCTTGGTAGTATAGTTGGGTTAATTATGAATTTTCAGACTAAAAAGCTTGGTACATAATTCAACAGAATAAATTTGTCCCCCTAGTAGTAAGCAGTGGTTGCAAAAGAATAAGAATTTGTATATATAAATTTTGTATTGCTTTTATTAAAATGTTATACATGGTTGTTAAATTAGTTTTTGCAATGTTCCAGAAAGATGTTCATGACTAAAGTTGACTTGAAATGACTATAGCTTTGTTTGTAAATAATAATAAAAATGGAACAAGATAGTGTGCCATTTAAAACGGCAACTGTTAAACTGGTGGTACAGGTATGAACAAAATAACATCGCTATGCAAATAACTTTTTAGTAATATTTACTGTTCACATGACAGGTTGTGGAAGGTCCTGGCAACAAAGCTGCAGGAAAATACTTGAAGATCTACAGTAAGTAGTGTTGTGTACATTGGAATTAGAGGGTAGAAGTTAATTGCTAAAAACCTATTAAGGTATGGAAATTGAATGGGTATGGAAGTCTAGGCTTAGGCTAGTGGGTACCATATCTGCAAGTTTAGTCCTTTCAGGAATCTATTGAATAGAATGGTATATTGAAATTGTGAAAATTGTAATGTGGGGCATTAGATCTTAAACAGCATAGTTGAGGGTGTTTTATTAATAAAATATAAATCTTGTTTAGTTAACATTAAATGTTTGTTAAATAAGCTTTAATCTATAAATGTATAACACTTAAGGGTAATCATGAGTCAAAGTTAATGGCGGGAAAAGTTTTGTTCTAAGTGACTGTATTTTTCCCTTGAAAGTAAAAGAAATGTCCAATGTTTACTTTAGCTTGGTTTTAAATTTATATACTTTTCCAGAATGTTGTTTGGAAAGTCCAGAAGTCCCTCTGTCAGTTGGAAGAGTTAATCAGAATCAGGTGAGTTGTAGTAAAGGTTAATCTGAATAGATTTGCATAAAAGTAAAAAATAGTAATAACTAAAACAATATAGCATTGGCTAAAGATAAATGTAAATTGCCATTGAAGTTGAGTTGTGGATAGTTTCTCAAATGACATTTACTGAAACTTGGCAAATTGATGCCATATATTTATATTGCTAAATTAGATCTTTACTACTGCTACTAGAATATGTAGGAAAGGTAAATTCCTTAAAGAAATTTTTTCAATCTTAATTTGTAAAGTAAAGCAAGATTGGCTTTAAATCTGACATTAATTTCTTGAAATATTTTTCAGGTGAAAGTGATTATGATGCATGGACTGGCTTGGAGTGAGTCTCCTTTACTCTACAAAAGTGGGTGAGTTTGAATTTGATGTTTTAGCTATATCAATGACTTAATCTTAATTCTCTTATCTAGTCCATTTATAGGTGTGTAACCATGTCCTACTGTTACAACCCACAGGGATTGATGCAGTTTGTACTGATCCTACCCCATTTCATAAAAGGGGACCAGGCAGTCCTGCAGATTTTCCTGGCTTGGCTTTTTCAGAGCTTTGCTCTACTACCCATCTAATAGATGGACTAGATTTGCATAGGTTTAGGGACCCTTAACAATGGTTACATTGTTAATTCTCACAGGGCTTGTTTGCTGAATGGGTGCATGCATCTAACACTTTAGTGCCTGGCATGCATTGTACAGTGCTTTCAGTAAAGCATATGTACAATGTGTTGATGGCACTAAAGTGGTGGATGTAATGCACCCATTCAGGGAACAAGCTCTGCACTGAAACCAGAGGAAGGGATAGGCCTTGCTGAGCCTATCTTAAAAGATAGGATGTTAGGATTTTTTGGGCTTGTTATTAGGCATTGGTGATAATAAAAGTAGTGTCCCTGTTTAATGTTTATTTTTCTTTTACAGGTGATTGTCTCTGGAGTTGTCTTGGCCTTTTGGATCTTCTGTTCATCTAGGAGCATCTGTCCCACAACCTGAAACAGTAATAAATATTAGATGTATTATAAATACTATATGTAAAACTTATTAAATAAAACAATTTTAATGAAACTACTTTATATACCTTATCCTGAAATTATGCTGGAAATTATTGTTTACTACTATTGATGCAATGTTTAAACATCTGAAATTTTTTTACTTTGGAAATAAATACTTGGTAAAATTTACACTTATTTGTAACTTGTTACATAGGTGCATGCAAAATGCATTGAAAAGATGTAAAAGTGGACTACCTATTCAATTTACATAAACTAACAAATATTGCAAATTAGTCTGAAATATTAAAGTGGAAGAAACTTTAGTCAACACCTAAGCTTTGTACAAATTTTGATTAACTAAAGATCATTGTTAAATTTACAAATTAGAAAAGTGACACTGAAAACCATGTTGTATAGATGCTTCAAAGTCTTTGGTAACTTAAATTTAATCAAAGCTCTTAAATGATTTGTCTGCCAAACTTGTCAGATATTCTGAAATATTTTACCTAGATTAAAACCATCATTGTTTGAAAGGGCAAAACAGATTACTGTCATTTAGTTTGACCTAACATCTGCAAGGTCCTGAAGGAATGGAATTTTTTTTTTGTAAAACTGTTTGCTAAAAACAAACCCTGTCTAATGAACCTGCTAATCTTTTTTAGAAATGGTAATTGCAACATTACCAAAGGCCATTGTTTTAATAGCCAAAGTACCAAATGAAAGACCAAGAAGCAACAAACAGGTACATGGTAGAAAGGACAAAAGAATAACAAATGAAAGTGTCCTCATAACCAAAGAAATGACTGGGAAAAATGCTGTCATACCACAAGGGGTCTTAACCCTTGTCAAATACATCACTGACATTAATCTAATTACCAACCACAAAAATTGCTGATAGCATGTTATAAAGAATATAATATTGAGGCCTTAATGCAGATCTCTAACTCTACAAATAGTAACAAGACTGGCAATTTCTTAATATAAAACAGAAAAAAATCAGAGCTTGCACGTGAGCCAGAACAATCCATATCACAACTACCACATTAAAATGAAACAACAATGAAGGTAAGGTAATTACCAAAAGAAGGCACCAAACCAGGAAGGCCATGTAGCACCATCAAAGTGCAAAATAATCAGAGGGCGCTAAATATCACCAAGAATGCCAATACAAGAACCAAAACGCATAAAGCGAACGATATCAAAAGTATCCGATTCACCTAGAATTCTATCGAGGGACGGTCGGAAAGCAAGACACACGCTCGTCCTGGAAGTCAGGACATTCAACAAGGATATGCACAACTGTAAGAGGGACAACGCAATAAGGAGCAGGGCGGCGCTCCATTAAGTGACTGTGGGTTAAGCGGGTATGACCAACCCACCGCCGGTTACGGTGGTAGGAGGAAGGCCACGGGGACACACTAAGTTTGAGAGTACGCAGCTTGTTACCAACCACAGAGGACCAACAACCCTGCCAACGGGGAAGAATGAATAACAGGATAAAAGTCGGAATAAGGAATACCTTTACGGGAGATGGGACAAGAACGGATAGCTTCCTTAGCGGCAGCATCCGCACGCTCATTGAAAAACCAATATGGCTGGGAACCTAGCTAAACTCTACTAATTTAAATTTACTAGAAATAAGAAACAGCCAATGTTGAATCTCAATGACCATCGGATGGACAGGATTAAAGGACCCTAGAGCCATGAGGGCACTACGAGAATCAACTACAACCACAAAGGAGGAATGAGAAAGCAAGAGACAAAGAGCATAGAGAATAGCATAAAGTTCTGCCGTAAAGACGCTAGCCTCCGAAGGGAGGCGACATATGTAAGTACGGTCAGGAAAAACAACAGAGTAGCCCACACCATCCGCAGACTTAGACCCATCAGGGAAGATGGAAATAGAGTGGGAGTGCGAAGAAAAGTGCTCAAGGAAGAGGCTTTTCAGAATTGTAGGAGGGGTAAAGGCTTTAGTAATACAAGTCAAGGACGTACAAAACTTGGGAAGGGGGACTCTCCACGGAGGTAATGAAGGAACAATACGAGGAGAAACATTAGAAATATGAACAGAAAGAGAATCCTGTAAGTGAGATAACTGGACAGAAAGTGGGAGACAATGAAGACGAACAGGAACCACAGGAGGAGGAAAAGTCAATGCACGACAGAGGCGAGAGGAAGGATGTTGGAAGGACCGCGCAAGATAGCGAAGACAGTAGCGATCACGGCAGTCCTGAAGAGAGAGAAAGCCAGTGTCAACATACAAACTAAGGGCGGGAGTCGAACGAAAGCCACCAGAGCCGAGACGCAACCCAGTATGGTGCAAAGCATCAAGACGGCGAAGAGTAGAAGGAGAAGCAGAAGAGTATGCAGGGCAACCATAATCGAGTTTAGACAGGACGAGAGAGGAGTGCTTACCACTGAACTGCTCTGTCTCCAAATAACACCCTGGTGCACAAGAAATAAATTCTTTCCAAAAATTTTTTTTCTCTTCTTATATTGTTAAAATGCAGAGTCTGATCACGGGGAAACTAAACAACAAATATTGTATGTGACTTACTTTAGCTGCGATGGTGCTGGGAAGTTGAGCAAATTATGGGCGCTGAGCGTTGGAGCGATGGGGGTCTGTCGGCCCCGCCACCCCGTGCGACGGCAGTTGCTGCGAATAAAATGTTGCACAATTATTTTGAAGTTTCTCATTCATTTCTTCCTTTTTTTTGCTGTAATATTATTTAAAAGTGTGTAATTTGTGGAATTTATATAATTCAAAGTATAGAACATCGCTATGCTCAAAATTATGGGCCTCATATATGCGACATATTCTACAATCAAACAGTGCTTTTGCTGTTATTACACTATATACACACATTGTATATACCCATCTACGTATGTATTCACCATAACGATCCACTATGTTGGTATGGTGAGCCCAAAAAACATGAGTGAGCTGCCACACCCTGCCAGTCCTCCCTCCCTCCTCCAACACATTACTCGCCAACATTCCTCCTCCCAAAATACTGTTATTGTGTTTATTACACTATTTACACACGTTATGTATAAGTATGTACATGTTTTATTCATGTACATACGTACATACTTGCCATCTCCTCATCTCTCAATCTTGCCTACTTAATGCTCTTGCTTCCCTCATCTCATCACAATCGACTTTATAATGGTCCAGGACGGATCGAAATGTCGTCGTCTATTCAATTTCCAGTGTGTGGTTTGGTCAACAATGAAATCTTCATGCAAGATCTTATAAAGCAGTATACACAGGCTTTGTAACCATGACAAAACAAACTATTACATTATTATTATTATAAAGTGTGTGAAGCACACGAATTGCCATGCATGCTTACAAATCAGCAAACCAACATCACCAAGCACAGAACACTTGCCCAACAGCCTAGAATGCTACCCAGGGAAATGAGGCAAAACCCTAGGACATCGCTCAGAGATCCAGTGCATACCCCAATGATCCAGGAAACATTCCTAGTGATCTGGAGAAATGCCCCATATGATTTAAAGAAATCCTCGTTTTGGTAGGTAAGTGGGGGTCTTGGAAGCCAAGCACATTCCTTAGGTTTACTGGTGCCCAAACAGGGACAAATGAAAGCTCACAACGCCCTAGGACCCAACTGCAGAGAACGGGCAATCAGGGAGAATTGTAGCGCCAGCCAAACATGTAAGCTGGAGGCCCACCTCAATACGCCAGGTAGGTTGTGCGAATCTAAGTGCACCCCACCAGCAATAAACACTCCCAACCTGAGAAAAGACAGGCTAGTCCAAGCCAGCCAGCTTACCTGAAGGGCGAGGGTTACCACAAGGGAGGTGACCCCTAAAGGAGCATATTCCCAAACACACCAGGGAAGAGAACCCTGACTGTGCAAGGGTGGCACCTAAGGAGCACCCAGGAAAGGTAACCCTGATCACTTGCAGCTCCTAGCACACTAAATGCCTGCCTCACACTACTCAAATGCGTTCACAAACAGCCTCAAAGGCAAACACCACCTTACGTAAAACAGGAGATTATAACCAAAGCGAATTGAGAGGGTGACCTGGCACTGGATACATTAGTATAAGAACTAATGGAGGAGCAGCTGGCTGACCTGGCCTACCTTCCTCCTCCACACATACAAGGGAGGGAGGTGGGGCGAACTAGCTTGTACAAGTTTTCACAATTTTTTTATTGTTTGTTTACTTTGTTGGGGAAGTTCTTATGGCAGTTTTGAGGCCGTGGTCTCATTTCTAGCCAAGCAGTAGTCTGTTTTGTTTCACTGAGTTTCTGAGTGCCTAGCTTTGGTGGTGGCAGACATGAATAACCTTACATAAAAGGTTTTCATAGTGCCACTGCTCCCTGTGCCTCTCTGAGGGGGCCAGATTCTAGCTCGTGGTCCCCGGTAAACCAAAAAGAACTCGGTGACTGATGGCACCTAGTAGTATGGCATTATTTAGTGTAGTTCCTTCAGGAAGCCAGACGGCGCTCCCCTCCAGAAAACAATTTTGACAGTCTCACACAAGAGGGCGTTTTGGAAACTGGAATGTGCTGGAGGGGTGACAGGCATACTGTTGACATGGATGAAAAAATTGACAGAGATAAGGGTGGTAATCAGGGGCAATGTATCAGGCTGGAGAAGTGTTACTAGCAGAGTACACAGGGTTCAGCTCTTTCACCAGTAGTGTTCGTTATCTAAACAATTTACCAGAAGAAACACAGAACATATGAATACTGTATGTTTGCTGATGATGCTAAACTTCTAGGGAAGATAAGAGACTTAGACAGTTGTCATGCCTTTCAAGATGACCTGGGAAAAATAAGTGTATGGAGCAACACTTGGCAAATGGGATTCAATATAAATAAATGCCATGTTATGGAATGTGGAATAGGAGAAAAGTAGGCCCCACACACATTACATATTATGTGGAATTTGTTAACTATGGCCTGTTCTTTAATTTACAGGTTTCAAGAATTCCTCTTTGTCAATTTTGTCAATTCCTGTTACTATTTTGTATTTAGTGATCATATGCCTCTTTTCCTCCTGTGTGTGTGTGTGTGTGTGTGTGTGTAATTACCTAAGTAGAGTACAGTATAGTTACAGGATGAAAGCTATGCTCATGGTGTCCCATCTTCCAAGCACTGTCATATAACGCTTTGAAATTACTGACGGTTTTGGCCTCCACCACCCTCTCACCTAACTTGTTCCAACCGTCTACCACTTTGTTTGCGAAAGAAAGAGGCCCACCACTAATACTAGACTCAACCTGCGAAGCGTGGCCGTGCAGGACCCTCGAATGTATGTGTGTGTGTGTGTGTGTGTGTGTGTACATATGTACACATATGCTGTATGTGTACATATGCAGTTTCTGGGTGAACCTCTGGGCTCCCCTCAAGCTACACTAAATATATTTAGTATACTAAATATTGTACCATCTACTAGGTCACATGAGCTATGTAGTTGTACAAGTCAAACAGGGGCCAGTGCTAAAGCCTGGAACACTCAAAGAGGCCCAGGGAGCAGTGACATTTTTCACCTCACTGGAGAAAGAAATCTGAAAATCAGTGAGTCAAAACAAATCATGGCTGGCTTGAAAACAGAAATACTGTACTGTATAGTATATACATATATAAATTATTTATGCAGTGCAGTCACTTAGGCAAAAATTATATTGCATGCATACACAGTGGAATGGTTAGGTCCAGCAGTGGGTTGTCTTGACTTTCTAACTGCCTTTTCCAGTGAGGTATCAAAAATGTCACCCTTCCCTGTGTCTCTGAGTAAGCCAGGTTTTGGAGACAGTAGATAGTACTGTACCATATTAGTACAGTATAGACAGTAGCTTCAGAGAGCCAAATTTAAAAAGTTGCATTTCGAGTAAGGAAGTGCTAATCTTTTAAGCTATTCAGTTAAATTAATAAAAATTCAATTAATAATTATTAACTCATTATATATGCAACCAATTTTCCTTTAATTATTTATAATTTTGAATGCAGAGAACCTGGACAAACATTACATGATTTAAAATTATTTCATAGCATATGAACATGAAACGTGTAGCATATTTCTAGCCATCAACTGCTGGTGCTTACTGCAACCAAAGGGTTAATCTTACTCTGATGGCTCTAGTCTTAAAAACAAATTGAATATCAGGTATGAGAATGTGTGTTTATAAAATGTTTACTGCAAACAAGGAAATTACCTCTATGGCAGGCTGATACATGTACAGTAGTGAAAATCAGTGATCTCTTTCCTCGGGTGATCGATACTCTAATCCAAGATGAGCAAAGATGGACGCTTCAGTAGGAGTCTCTAGTAGATGTCCTCCTGTAAGTTTTTCCCGACCCTAAAATTGTATTTAAGCATTAGTTGGGTTCAAATCTATGAAGTTTATTTGTAATACTATATATAGATTAAAAATGATATAGAGCAGGCTAAACTGTTGAACTCTTTTTAGTCACCCAATTCAAGGCACAATTTTAATGAGGTAAATCAACTCTCAAAAATTAAAACAAAATGTTTGTCTGTCTTAGACACTTATCAAGCTGAAACTGAGAGAAAGGAAAAACTAAATTTTCCCATGATCATCCTACTGGCTGTCAAGATAGCCAGTGGGATGATGCTGACTGCCTAGGTTTGAATCTTTGAGGGATCATTAAAATTTATAGTTGTTTAAATTGACTTTGGGACCATTCAGACTTTGCACAAACAAAGAGTACTGGGAAGATGAGACACCCACGAGCATAGCTCTCATCCTGTAACTACACTTGAGTGATTGCATACACATTTCCTGTGCATGGCAGACAATTAATATTAATTATGTGCAGTACATGTAATTCAATTTGGCCATAACTTAACAATATGTAACCATATACTGTACAACATTAAAAAGATTTGACATGTCTAGTGAAATTTCAATGTGACATTAAGATATAACGACTGAAAGGATCAGATGTACACAAGAAAGAATGGTTATATTTATCCAAACCTGTCTGACAATCCCTGCACGAAGGCCGTGTTCAGAAAGACTCATTCCCATCTTGGTTGCCAAGAGCCTCATTGATCTGCAAAACAGGCTCTTTGCTAGATGTAAGAAAGATAACTACCCTCTTGTGATCAATAATAGCGAACTTTTTATAAAAAATTATAATTTTAAATGGTTGCAGGATGGCAAGTTGTAAAGAGATCCAGTATAATCCTAACTTAAATCAGAGGAAACATATAATGAAATTAATAAGGGAAACTGCAGAGGATCTATTGGCCTATATGAGGCAGCTCTTATTTATGTTACCTGGTATGTTGTTACATAAATCTAGAAACCCTGCTTCCAAACGAATATTTACCCAGAGTTTTCATAAATCAAAACATAAGCAATTTATATCAAGCTACAATTTATAAAATTCATAATTGGGCTACAAATTAATAAATGCATGAAGTTTATAAGTCATAACACATTTAATTAGAAAGCATGATTGGTTAGTAATTCACTGATGTAAGCCTGACATTATCTAAAACAGCATTTCTCAATTCTAATTCCACAAACTCCGTGGAGGTGAAAGTTGGAATTCCCTAAGAGATAACGATAGTCTAATTCTAATCATATGCCAATGTATTTTTGAGTTCACAAAATACTCCTGGAGGCATCTCCAGTTGCAACAAATCCCTCACTGCAATGTACTGGGGTTGGTCCCAAATAACTCATTGAACTGAGGCTGCACTGTACGTAATGTGAAAGGTGACTAACAGCACCAAATAATAATAGTACATGTTTGCAATGAGTGTAACCCGTATCTGTGTAGGCCTACAGTTGAGCCTGATATCCTAATATCCTGCTGTACAGATAATGCTACATAATCTCCAGTGGCTTGGTGCCTTCTTTTGATACAGTTGAGCTTTGATGCTTCAGATCACAATACAATATGTACTGGTACTCTAGAAGAACATTTGTCACTGGAAACTTGAATTGTGTGGATAATCAAGGCAGTCTACATAAACCATACTAACACAAAGATATAATTTTATAAATCAAACATTACATTTAATCAAAATGTTCTTATCTAGAGGAAGATGCCTTCAAATGAGTTGACTAGAACCTTGAATTATCTATAAACAGCCTGATGACAATAATGCATCAAGAAGTCCAACAAAACTTTGTACATCCGAGACAACGTGAAATCTACACTAGATACTCCATCTATTATGTTACCACGTAAGAAGAGCCACATATCTATGGATCATGGAAAACAATTGACAAACTCCTAGATATTGCAACTACTCGGTTTAGGTTCAGTTATAAGTCCCTGGAGGTTTGCATTACCACTTGCTGTAGACTTTACTAAATGTAAACTGTCAGTAAAACCATTTATACACACACTGCTTTATTGATGGAATGGGGAAAAATGAATGAATTTAGATATAATTTTACCACAAATGTTCAAGACGTATATTTCATTCAAAATAGTGCAGTGTACTATCAGAAATCTTAACTCGTCAATGGTGTAACTTGCAGAGTTAACAAATTTGGGGATCCAGATCCTGAGCTCATCATGTGATGTAACCTTTTTCCCTCTACCACTCATAGCATGGCTATGGCATGCATAATAAATTAAACTGAAAACTGCTCCCCAGTACATTGGTTCTGATACTAGACAAGAGCTAGTGATTGGTAGGCCTGCATACAGGCCTACCAATTACCTGGACCGAAATTTGGGGTATCCATGAAGGTGAGAGAAGCATAGGGATCCAAGATTGACCCAAAACCAAGCAGAACGTACAAGCAAAACAAAACTACTGATATATACCTTGATTCAAGAGAGATAGAAACAAGGGCAGAATTAGTTTGCCTAATATTAACAAACCATGTGCTAGTACCGAAGCACACCACCAGGAAGCAGCTATTTCACCCTGAGTTTAGTCTTTATGCTTCATTCATATACAGTATCATCCCTAAGATGGATCTGTTCCCCAGGGGGAAAGAGGGTGGGTACAGGGAGCTGCTGAGACAGCCCAAAAATTCCGTGGTTAATGAAATGAGTTGTCTCTTTCAGGTGGGGTCTTCAGTAGTTCCCCAATGCTGCATTCTGGAGCCTTTTTAAGTCTTGATGACCAAACCACATACCAGAAGATGAAGAGACAACAACATTTCAATTTAATAATACAGTAGGCCAGGATGGACCGAAACGTCATTGTCTCTTCACCCTCATTGTATGGTTTAGTCATCATATCTTCAGCTACATTATTGTGATTCATCGTCTTTCAAGTCTTAGGCATCACATCAAGTCTCTAACAACTATCAATTGCCTACCAGAGATCAGGACCAGAATCTGGACCCCTCACAAAGAGTCTAAGAGATTACACACAGAAATTTCAGTAGCGTGATGCATCAAATGAACAAATTTTGTTCGAATCTAAGAGATCTAAAATAACTACCAGAAGGTAGGTCACTCCAAAATAAGCAACTACTGCTACTTGATGGAAAACATTAGTAGCCCTATATAAACACAAAGTTACCATGGGCAAATCACACTCTAATACTGCTTTTTTTTGCCACTATATGGTGGCCACGGTGTGACCAGAGACCCCCTGGCCAATAAGCCCAGCCATTCATGGGCTGCCCATCAAAACCCTTTCCCTATGAACACCACAGAAAGAGCAAAAAGAGTTCTATCTTTCAGTAGCAAACCAGTGCTATCTCACTATGAAGGCAAAATGAAAGCTGATGATCCTGAAAGGAAAAACCTGATTGGCCAAGGCTTACTATGAACATACGAATGAAGGTAACTGCAGAAGGCCTATTGGCCCATATGAGGCAGCTCCTATTTATATCCACCTAAATGTAGAGGGGTAAAGACATGCAGAACAGGGGGCACTTACTGATGGGTCAACCAACCCGACCCAGTGCAAGCCTGGTGCAGTTGAGTAATATTCACAAAGCACTGAGCAGTGCTTATGTTAGCAAAGAAAGCCTTTTTTTTTTTGTTATAAATTTTATTCCAGATTTGGTGCTCCATATTCTACTAAAGGAGATTCAATGTTAACATTTTTATTAACTAGCACTAAAAAGACCTGCTGTAATACAAATCTAAACAAATCTACAAACCTATTAAAATGTGCAGATCCTGTGAAGTACATTGTAGCAGGGGCAAATTCTGCATACGGCACCACTATCACATCTAAACGTCGATGCTGTCAAAAAATATAACCCGATATTATTGGAATGCATTACGGTAGTCAAAGGTTACAGTTCTTGTCAAAATAACAAACTATAAATATTGAGCATCAAACCCCTATGTAATATGTACAGTAGATTTTTTGTGCATGTGTGTGTGTGTGTGTGGTGTTTAAAGCAGGTTAGGATAATGGATGACAAGGAACACCCAAACGGGTTCTAAAATCTGACACACGTCTTAAATTTTATAGATTGTCATTCACAAAATTACAATACTGTCCACTGCTAAATACAATTTACTTCAGATAATTCTCAACACTCATTCACTATGTTAGAAGTTCAGTTGAATTTGTGCAAGTTACACAAACAATATGGTTCAATATTTCATCAACTCCACAAGAATCATAGCTAAGTTCACAAGATGCATAGGTCTGATGGTCTTACAAGGCCTGAGCAACTAAACATGACACACACAATTCCCGGAATGTCTGAAATTCAGAGTACCAGAAAATGTACTTTATTACTGTACTGGTCAATCATGTCCATACAAAATTATACTATAACCTTCATTAGTTCAAGGTGCAATTATGGTAAACTTGTAGCTATAGGTCCTTAGATCCCAACAACTGTTTGATTGCACAATCAAATAATAGTAGGGGCCCTGGTAGCCTGGTGGATAGCGTGCAGGACTTGTAATTCTGTGGCGCGGGTTCGATTCTCGCACCAGGCAGAAACAAATGGGCAAAGTTTCTTTCACCCTGAATGCCCCTGTTACCTAGCAGTAAATAGGTACCTTTGAATTAGTCAGCTGTCATGGGTTGCTTCCTGGGGTGTGTGTGATGTAGGGAGAAAAAAATAAATAATAGTAAACAGTTGATCGACAGTCGAGAGGCGGGCCGAAAGAGCAAAGCTCAACCCCCGCAAACACAACTAGGTGAATACAAGAGCAACTAAATATGGTCTCCTAGGTACTGTAACCTCAATTCAATCTCTCTCTGCATCTCTACTTGCAGAGTTGAGATGTAAATAAATGATCATCATCATTATATAGAGCCACTAATATACAAAGCATATGATGAAGCTGGCCACTCAATAAAGTATAAGCAATATCAACAGAACTGATGATTTGATCAGGGAACACATGACACAAATACTGCTGGATGAACAGCGGCATTAGGTGAAAGGAAACATGCTTAACCATTTGTCCCACACAGAATTCCCAACACAGTCAAGAATGGACCTAACTGTACAACCCAGACCATACATGCTTTGTGAATTAGTGGCTCTTTTTAATATATATTTTTGTACCTATTAATTAACCACTAACATATTCTTATGTATATTTCATAAAAACAATTTTTATTATTATTATTAATTATTACGTATTACGCATATAGAATTCCTTGGCTTGGTGTATACTTCGTGCAGATTATCAATACTGTTTGGCTAGTTAGAGGGAATTATGAATAATGTGTAATTATTAGTTGGATATATTTCACAATATGCACTCTTAAGAATCTTAATAAATGTCAATAATGATGAATTACAAAAAATTACCTTACGATCTTCTCCTGGTAATTTGCACACACCTAGATACTTCTGCTGGTTTCCATTATCTTCCTGAATTACTAGGTCATTTGTAATAAATCCTGAAACAGAAAGTTGTCTTAAACTGCTGGAAAAATAGATTCTTAAGGTTCATTGAATACAAAAACCAGCTTTGAATGTAATGAAAATGACAATTTTTGAGTGAGTGCTGGTGGCTCTGTGAAGCTGTCATGTACTGGTAGGGTACCATCTACTAGGATACATCAGCTGTCTAAGGAAACGACTCCCTGACACTCCAGGGACCCTGACAATGTAAGGGCAGCACTAGGGAGAACACAGGGACGGTAACCCTGACAATGCAAGGGGAGAACACAGGGACGGTAACCCTGTATACATGCAACTCCGAGCACACTCAAAACTTGGCTCACACTACACAGCAGTGTATAGGAAATGTCACTAAGGGCAAACAATACCGCTCAGATGAAAAAGTAGAATACTTGAAAGCCAGCACAAAAGGGAGGCAACATCAGCACTAGAATTGGTGGCCGAGATACTGACTGTCGATGAGCTACCTCCTCATTCCACCCAAACGAGTAGGAAAGTGGGGCAAATGAGATCGAGCTAATTCTGAGAGAATTCAGTCGTTTGTTTACATAATATGGGGAGTTCTTTAGGTAGGTTTTATGTCTTCACTCTCTTCTGAAGCCAGCAGTGGTTTGTTTTGACTCTCCAACTTTCTGGTTGCAGAATTAGCAACCAGAAAGTTGGCAACCATATATTCTCACCACAGGTGGCGGGAATAAATGTCACCACTCCCTGCGCCTCTTTCAGTGGGCCAGGTTCTAGCACTGGTCGCAAGTAGGCCTGAAGAATTCTGCAGCTGATGTGACCTGGAGCCGGTCGGCCGAGCGGACAGCACGCTGGACTTGTGATCCTGTGGTCCTGGGTTCGATCCCAGGCGCCGGCGAGAAACAATGGGCAGAGTTTCTTTCACCCTATGCCCCTGTTACCTAGCAGTAAAATAGGTACCTGGGTGTTAGTCAGCTGTCACGGGCTGCTTCTTGGGGGTGAAGGCCTGGTCGAAGACCGGGCCATGGGGACACTAAAGTCCAGAAATCATCTCAAGATAACCTCAAGATAGTAGATGGTACCATACTACTTTACAATAGCTTCAGGGAGCCACAAAGGGCTCCCCCAGGAAAGAACATTAAACAATTATAATTAGCAACAACAGGGCACATTATATAAGAAAATTATTTCTACCGGTTTACATTTATAAATTTACCTCACCTGTTTCTTTTAAACAATTTAGTAGAGGTTTAAAAAGATTTTCGTGAGAATGTCCATCAGGATGAGTGATAAGAACATCAACATCTCCACAGCTTGGCTTTCCTCGACGATATGATCCACACACCATGACAATCAGCCCTTGCTTTATGCTCAAGGCAGCTGAACGCACCTTAAGAGATCAAATTAGGGAGATTATTTTCTTTCAACTTACAAATATACCATTTACTTTATCTGGGTTAACTACAGTATTCAAAAGTTAGGAGAAAACTTGAAAGGTTACATGAAGTAGGCATACATGGGTGCTTATTAAACTTGATGAACGCTTGTAATATTCATGAACTTTGGTTACAGCCAAATGACAAAACTTTTATCTAAAATGCTTTATAGAACATACAACACAGCAAAGTTTAGTTATGCAAGTTTTTAAATTGTGTATACATAATTTCTCCTGACAACATTTGAGTCCCCCTGCATAATAATCATTATAGAATGGCAGTGTAATAAAGGACTTGATAATTCAAGAGATTTTACTGTATATGAAACATTTTTTAGGGCAAGAAGGTATCATTACTGCAATCACTTGAAAATAAAAAAAAAAATCATGTTCACAATTATGGGATATAAATTAAAACAAATATCTTTGTAATTCTGGCTCTGAAACTTACAAATTGTTCAATTTCTGCAACTTCATCTCGAGGTATGCGACTGTTGATATCATCGTAATGCTCAAGACCAATCTGCTGGTGACGTGATAATGTGGCCTTTGTCCGTAAATCTTCAAGAGTTCTGAAACCCTAAAGCAAGTGTGTATGTTTACAGAATGGTGAGCACCAAGATTCTGAAGATTTATTTCATATGTAATAAGCGCTTGTAATAAGAAAAAGAAGAATGAAACCAGAGAACAGAATTCGTATAATGTTTTCCATTACAGTATTTGGGGACAGGAAGCTTGTTACGCTCATATAGGTCCTTCCCTGGGCCCCCCTACCCTCAGGTCAACTACTGCCCTTCCCCAGGATGCATTCCACAACAGTTATCCAACTCCTGGGTATCTGTTCACTGCTAGACAGGCAGATATAAAGTAATTATGAAGAGAAAGCACAGAGCCAGTATAACTATACAGTACAGTATAGCACTTGGAAGGGACATCAGGATAGAATGAGGGAACAATACCAAAGGCTAGGCAAACAAGAGACATCAGGGGAAAGGAAACATGCCCATACATCTCTGTCCTGAAGGAATCAAACTGCAGACCTTTCGGTTGTGAACTTTACTGAGCTGGTCACTGCACTAATGGTTGCGTAAATAAAGTAACTTGTTTTATCGGAAGGTAATACTTTGATGCCTGGAAGAGTATTTACAAAAGACATAAAGGAGCAGTTTAAGTATTTATCTAAATTTTCTAGATGCTGGTGCGTCCATTATAAAAGTGAAGCTGTTACCACTTGGCCTAGTGCTACAAAAAACCAGCGTCAAATGTAATGAAATGCCATTTTCTATTCCGCTATCTTATCTATTCCCCTTAGTGTCATGTATGTTGTGATCATACCTACTCTGTTCCTTTTATCCTCAAAGGTTGTGAGATTTAGTTCCATTAATCTATCCTCATAGCTTAACCCTCTTAGCTCTGGGACTAATCTTGCTACAAACCTCTGTACTTTTTCAATTTAAATTTTTTTCTGTACAATTTTTTCAATTTCAATTTATGCTTCACAAGGTGTGGAATGTGCTGTAATACCTAGCTTTTATTTTTATTAATTTCAAACTTTTTATTTTATTAAATGTTAGTTTTTAATTTGAGTTGTACAGTGGCACCTCGATTAACGAGTTTAATCTGTTCCAGCACCGAGCTCGTCATGTGGAAAACTCATCTTGCGAAACAACAACAAAACTGTCGTCGAAGGTGTCTGAGAACCAGTGGGAATGCTCGTTAATCGAGCAAAAGCTCATCAGTTGAGACATATTTTCTGCGAGTGGTTTGCTCGTTACTCGAAATACTCGTAACTGGAGCCGCTCGTCACTCGAGGTTCCACTGTATACTGTATTAGAGAGAGTATGCGTGTTTGTGTGTAATTACCCAAGTGTGGTTACCGGATGATTGTTATGCTTGTAGTGTCCTGTCTTCCCAGCACTGTCATATGACTCCTTGAAACTACTGAGGGTTTTGGCATCCAGCACCTTTGGGATTGTACCTGGATGGTGTTCTGGGAGTTCTTCTACTCCTCAAGCCCAGCCCAAGGCCAAGATTGACTTGTGAGAGCTTGAGCCAACAGGCTGTTGCATGGAGCGGCCCACATATCCACCACAGGTCCGGTTGGTGGATTGGTCCGGCACTTCTTGAAGAAAATTATTTAGTTTTCTCTTAAAGATGTCCACGTTTGTTCTGGCAATAAATCTTATTCTCGCTGGGAGTATGCTTATACAGTGTTCTCTGATTGTGCCTATGGCACCCCTGGTCTTCACTGGTTCTATTCTCACTTAACTTGTTATAATCATCAGTTTTTTTTTAGTTTAGTTCATTTATTATGTACCCCATACCCATCTTGTGGGCGGTAGTGGAAAGGGTTACAGAGGCACATAATGGGCTCAGGGACTGAACCCCACAATTCATTTAGCTAAGCAAGGTAAAATCTTGATGAGCTAGTTACAAAATTCAATATAAGTCGTCACATCAACAATGGGTTCGAGATCGACCTCAAGTACAGGTTCTAAATTAAGCAACTGACATATGTGGAGAGCTAGTGTCAAAATTTATATGTTTGTCCTGCACACCGCCCCCCATCCAGTGGGTAGCGGTGGATAGGTTACAATCACTTAGTTACTACCTACAGTTAGCAAACTGGGAATATTTGGCTAAAATTTCTGGTAGCAGATCATTTTGAATGAAATACTGACACATCGCTGGAACATTGGTTATAGAATTGTCTCTAAATTCACGTATCTTTTCGCACTCCATCACATAGTGACGGAGGGTGTCCGAATAATTTTGTTGACACAGTTTAAATTTGGTCAGGTCTACATCAGCAGATAATGAGAATTCCCAGAGATACTTGTAACCGAGTCTAAGCCGAGCAGCAGTAACATCGAGAAGTCTGCTGATTTTATTGGATGATCCATAGATGTGTGGCTCCTCTTGCATGATAGTATGATGATAGATGGAATTACTGGTGTCAATTTCACTTTGCCTCAGATCTACAAGATCTTGTTGAAGTTCTCGGTGTACTGCTGCTCTCAGATTGCTCATTGACAATCCAAAGTTACACTCAACAGCTCCTTTAAAGGCAGATTCTTTGGCTAACTTATCAGCTCTATCATGCATTCGGAGGCCAACATGAGATGGAGACCACATGAAATGGACTCTGTTACCATCCTTAATAATTTTGTTGTATTTGTGTCTAGCTTCGGACACGAGCATGTTACAGTTATGTCTTAAAGAGTTGAGAGCATTTAAGGATGATAAGGAGTCACTTACAATTAATGTATCAAGTTTGGAGACTTGTACACATTTCAGTGCAAGGATCAAGGCAAATAGTTCAGTCTGAAGGGTAGAGGCCCAGTTGTTTATACGGACTCCCCACTCAAAGTATAGGCCATCGCCCATTGTCAGGACAACTGCACTTCCAGCTGCACCCGTGGTGCAGTGTAGGGAACCATCAGTGTATATAATTTGAGAGAGAGAATGCTCTGTGGACAGAGCATCAATATGACTTAAGGCGTTGAGCTTTGCCTTAAGACGAAGCTTGAGCTGATCTCTAATTTGCTTCTTGGGTGGAAAGGGAGGGATTAAAACTGGAAAGGGTGTAACCTCCCACGGTGCAGGAAAGTGCCGTTGTTGTTTCTCTTGGTACAAATCATGAACCCCATACATTCTGAGTTGAGTTCCAGTTTTTGTTATCCATTTGGAACAATGCTGATCTTCAATAAAGAAATTCTGGAGGGCTTCTGTGCAAGGATTAGGATGAGTTAGCCTAAGCATTTTTATACCAATTTGACAGTTAATTTCAGTAACACGCTCAACAACGCTCAGAATATTAGGTTCCTTTCTCATATAATCATCAACTACTATGTTTGCAAAAGAAAACTTTCTAGTGTTTTTTGTCACCTCTGTTTCCTTAGCTTGATTCTATGACCTTTTGTTCTTAGAGTTGCAAGTTTCAAGACTTCCTCTGTCAGTTTTGTCAATTTGTTACTATATATTTTGTATGTAGTGATCATATTGGCATATTTAATGCATTTAGCCTATCCTCACAGCTCTTGTTTTTCAGTTCCGGAAACCAGTTTTTGGTACGTACAGTATATCGTTGCATATTTTCCAATTTACTAATGTGCTTCTTGAGATCTGGGCACCACACAACTGCTGCATATTCTAATTTTCATCTTACAAAAGTCATGAACAGTTTCTTCAATATTTCACTATTCATGTATTTATAAGCAATTCTGAAATTGGAAAGTGTAGCACAGGCACCATGCACAATGTTCTTTATATGGTCCTCTAATGACAGTATTATTCAGAACCACCATTAAATCTCTTTGTTAGAGTTCTTTAATGCCTTTCGACATAATCTGTAGGTTGTATATGGCCTATTTTCTCCTATTTTACATTCTATAACATTGCATTTATTCACATTGAATTCCATTTACCAAATGCTGCTAAATATATTTATTTTGTCCCGGTCATCTTGAAGGGCATGACACACTTCTAATTTTCTTACCCTCCCTAGTAGTTTAGCATCAGCAAATATGCTCATGTAATATGTGGGGGTGAAGCCATGTATGCTGGTGGTGGTGCAGCCATGTGTGATGGTGGTGGAGCCGTGTGTGGTGGTGGTGCAGCCGTGTGTGGTGGTGGTGGAACCGTGTGTGGTGGTGGTGCAGCCGTGTGTGATGGTGGTGGAGCCGTGTGTGATGGTGGTGGAGCCGTGTGTGATGGTGGTGGAGCCGTGTGTGATGGTGGTGGAGCCGTGTGTGGTGGTGGTGCAGCCGTGTGTGGTGGTGGTGCAGCCGTGTGTGGTGGTGGTGCAGCCGTGTGTGGTGGAGGAGCCATGTATGGTGGTGGAGGAGCCATGTATGGTGGTGGTGGAGCCATGTATGGTGGTGGTGGAGCCATGTGTAGTGGTGGTGGTGGTGTTGTAATGATCTGGGGCTCAGATCATTAGTTCTCCCTTCTCCCCTCCTTTCCTTCTCCCTCTCCCCTTCTTTCCTTCTCCCTCTCCCCTCCTTCCTTCTCCCCTCCCCTTGGCCGTCATTCGTCTCCTCCTCTTCCCCCCCCCCCCTGTCGCCCATTTGTCAGGGTCAAGAGGTTGACCTGAGGGTGGTCTTGGATACCGTTGGCTTCCCCCCCACTCAACTTCCCCACTCAGATGTTTCCCTCTCCATCCCCCTCTCATCCCCTCTCTTCCCCTCTCACCGGTCCCTTCCCCATACCAGGCAGAGTCAAATGTCCCTACTCGTATCTTAGAGGAGACAGGCTTGAACATAATTTATCAGTTTTGTAAACATTGCTCGCAGGTGCACTGGGGCTCCATAGAGGTGCCTTGTCTCCCTTCTCATAGCTGGGGAGAGCTGACTCAATCTTCAGGAATTCATGTAGCTTTCCACGGCAGATCAGTGAAGGTGATTGGCCTGAGATAAGGGCCAAGTCCTTATTGGCCCTAGAGAGCCAGACCTCAGGCCTACGTGTTAAATGGTTGGCCATTGCCAAAATAAGGGGTGGAGCCCTGGGGCTGTATTAGATGGTGGGAGGAGTAATCCTTCCCAGCAATAAGTTGGTAAAACAAAATTTCATCAGTGTGTCTTGGGAGTGTATTAGGAACAGGGCCGCAAGCCCGTATCCTAGGGGCTGAGGGCAGCCATCAACATCTTGGCCGTGGTGCGGGTATTTAAGGTATAGTACCACTTGAGTTTTGTGCCCTCAATAAATATCCATTGTGCCTCTAGGGAAACAGAATAGGTTATGTGTTCAAATTGTCTTAATTTACATGTTTCATAAAATAAATTGTATAGCTTGTCCAGTGGTATTCACTTAACTCCCCTTTGAGATATTTTGCTACTTTGTCATTTTTAGGTGTTGTATTGGAAGCCCCCCCAGGTTCTCCTACAATTAATCGATACTAAAGTTGCCCTTGGATTTAAATTAGTAACGTAAATTACACAAACTAATTTTCCAAAATTGATTACTGAAAGTCATATTACCCGGAGTCCCATGGTTACTGATTCCTTGCCTTCCTGGGGGATCGGTGATAAGACACATTCAGGTATGGTTGGTCGGGAAGGTGGTGGCAGTGCTTTAATGGTTTTTATTTTATAATTAGTAATAAATTAACCCTTAACATGCTCGGGGTTTAATATCCTGTCATCCCCACAGGCGCATGTCATTTTGAAAAAAAAAAAAAAAAAAAAATTTCTTTCTAATCTGTTAATTTGTGTTCACTGATCACGGGAAAAATAATAAAAAAATCGTAAGTGGCATATATTGCCCGCTATAGGGCGGGGAAGTCTGGCAAATTATAGGCGCTGACTCAGCGTGCGTCCCAGGCGGTCTGTTGCTTGCAAGCTGTCAGGCCAGAGTTGCCACAAAGAGATAATTACCGAATTATTTCAATGTCTCTGATTGATTTTTCATACTTTTTTTGCTGTAATATTATTCAATAGTGTGTAGTTTGATATATTTATATAATAAAATGAGTGAATCATTGCTGTACTCAAAAATATGGTGTGCATATTGTTGATTCAATTATGTTCATCAATCAGTGAACAAATACTTTGTCGGTTATTACATTATAAGCACAGGTTATATATAAGTATCTGTATGTTTTGTTCACTATAACAAACCACTAAGTAGCTATTATGAGTCAAAAAGTAATGAGGAGCGACCGCCATTTACCAGCCAGCCACTCCCGCCCTCCCTCCAGTCATCTGACTCACCCACATTCTCCTCCCACAATAATGTTTTTGCTATAATTCACTATATACAGACGTTATATATAAGTATCTACATGTTTTGTTCACCATAACTGTACATCTAAGCTTGTATGGTGAGTAAAGGCACAAAGATGTGGCTACTCACACAGTCAGCTGATCGGCGGCCGCCCTCAAGGCCAGACGCACTAATATTTCTCCTCCAACAATACTGTGTGGTGTTATTACGCTATATACACACATTATATATAAATATCTACCTGTTTTATTCATCATACTTGTACAAATAAACTGGTATGGTGCCCAAAGACCATCGTGGTAACCAGTAAACAGCACCGTCGTCTGCACGGTGGCGTCGTGCAGACGATGCCACCGCCCTCACCAAAATGGTGGCTCCAAACCTTCTCTTGCTGTTTATACTCTCTATACGCACGTTATATATAAGTATCTACATTTGTGTTCACCATAGCGAACCACTAAGCTGGTATGCCGAGTGCAGTCAATAAAAGGTGGCCACACACAGTCAAAAGACATCACCACCACCCTCCCTCCCACAGCATTACTCCTCCTTCCATGGCGCACAGCGCTAAATATCACCACAATCCTGCTATTATCAGAACCCTGGTCAGTTTTATCACAGTCAGGGGTCTTCTGTAATAATATCATCGCTACATAATAGCATGAACAAGTATAATTTGGCATTTTTAGGCGATGCTGTGGTCACAAGCTGAACAGCAGTGCTGTTAGCTCATGCTGCGTGCGTCAGGCTTGGTTGCTCACTCAATACTGAGGCCAATAACACCCGGGAGTTTGGCCCACGATTTTTTTTTTTAAATGGCGTCTGTTTACAAGAGCCCTGATGAAGGTGTGGTGAACCCCGTGCTGTTTAAATCTTGCGTAGTACTCCAACACATCATATGACGTGATGCGCAGTTGACTGGAACAACGTCCAGCACGTCATATGACGTGATGCGCACTTTAAGGGTTAATAACCCTTATCCTTGGTGTATCTTCCTCATTTAATATTCCTCTTATATACGTGGCAGTCTAGTGAGGGGTCATGCTGGACTGTAACAGTGTTAAGCTGGGGTATTGAATGAAGAGAGACAGAGATGTACAACAGAGAGCGTATAGTACGATTATGAGAGATCACAAGATAACAGGATTAATACTGGGGAACATTGGGTTATTACAATAGAGGCCGCGGTTATTACGACAGGGTAAAGCGGTCATTACAGTGTAGCCGCATCTGGTGGTGGTGATGGACCCACGTATAGTGGTGGTGGTGGTGGTGATGGACCCACGTGTAGTGGTGGTGGTGGTGATGCAGTGTGTCTGTGTAGAGGTGGCATTGAGAATGCAACCAACACAAATAAATTTCCCCTGAACACAAGTTCTACTATATATTTACACATTACTACAATATACAAATCAAATATTGCCAATTTAACAATATAATCATTAGTCAATACAAGTCCGCATAGGTAGCAATAATTTTAAACTCTTGCATAAAATAATTTATAGCAATTTTACTTTAAATACTCTACTATGCTATGAACATGGCTAAGATACTTCAAGTCCTTTAATTAACAGCACCTTTTAATTATTCCCATGAAAGTAAAAGTAAATTCACAAAGATGTCTTGAACGCGGGCACTGACCTGGGTATACCAACTCTGCGCAGTAGTTGGCCCAGCTCCCCAAACACCCATAAACAGCTTTAGGGTCTCTGCTTCCTCGCCTTCACACACCTCCGATACTTTTCTAAGTTTACCACTTTCAATAATTTCCGCCACCTTGTCTGCTAGTCTCTCTCCGACACCATTGATACCAAGTGCCTCCTGAAACAAGCATTAAAGGTATACTGTAATACAAACTTGAGAAGTTAACATAATGAGAAAGGAGAGAGAAAAGAGCAGTGGTTAGGGGAGAGAAAATGAAGGGGTGAGGGATATAAAAGGCACTTTTGTAATAAGGCAAAACCATCAAGGGCATATTTCAGCACATAGCTTGTTAAATACAGTAGAAACCCATTATTATTCACGGATACATTCTGGAAAACCTTATATAGGACTGAATCACACAGAACAGTGTTAAGAACCATGTGCAAAATATTTAAGTTTACATAAAAAAACAAGAGTAAAACCACTGGGTACAGGACATTTTAGAAACATATTAATATTTATATAAAAGTTGTGGATGCTGTACATGCAATACCCAGAGACGTTAACTACAAAATTTACAGTGTCTGAACACCCTAGTGCCCGTATCCGGACACCCTGGTGCCAGTATCCGGACACATAACTCCCATTGTCGGAGACAGGAAGCCTGTATTAAGGCTGATCATGGTTATCTTATCTTGAGGTTATCTTGAGATGATTTCGGGGCTTTAGTGTCCCCGCGGCCCGGTCCGCGACCAGGCCTCCACCACAAGGAAGCAGCCTGTGACAGCTGACTAACACCCAGGTACCTATTTTACTGCTAGGTAACAGGGGCATAGGGTGAAAGAAACTCTGCCTATTGTTTCTCGCCGGCACCCGGGATCGAACCCGGGACCACAGGATCACAAGTCCAGCGTGCTGTCCGCTCGGCCGACCGGCTCCCTCCCCATAAGTACTGACCTTTCCCAGGATGCAACCCACAACAACTAACTCCCAGTTACCTATTTACTGTTAGATGAAAACAGAAATCAGGTGAAAGGAAATATGCTCGCCCATTTCTGTCCTGCTGCGGGATCAAACTTGGGATTATCCACTGAGTTGGGGACGTTGACCATTGTACTACAGGATGGGTACCCAGCATATATCCCATTTCCCACAGAGTTACAATGATACACACTTGTAGTACATTATTATATAATGAAGATCATTATAATATAATGACTGAATCAAAAGAATTCACAGGTGTCAAAAGAAAAATATTTGATGCACTGAAGAGACACAGCAACTTTCTGATTACCTCTCTAGATGTAATCTCCCTCGGATGATTACGAATTGCCGATACAGCCTTCTGGTAACCTAGTGCTCTCCATGTATCATTCTTACTTTTATACGCCGCTGCCAGTTTCTCAAGCTCACTAGTTATGTGGGCATTGAGTTTATTCACTTTGCTGCTAGAAGGTCGGGCACAAGCAAATTTTTCCTGAAACATTGATGTAAAAAAGGCAAATCAACACTAATACAGTATTTATATTCACTTTTTCATGGCTCCATTTTAAACAATTATATTATAGGTCATTCTAGCACTACCAACTAACTACTGTAAATCATTTATCTTACAAACTAATGCCTTGAATACCAGAGTTAGAGCTGTCCTGTTGCAGGTTTCATGATGGAGACAAACTAATGGAGAGCTGATGGAGCCCGCTATAATCTTCTGAGAGAATGGAATTGCTCCATATGAGGAGTACTTAAGCATCGTATTAGCACTCTGGAATTTCCAAGACCTACCCGAATGGTCGGAGGTTCAAGCTGCAACGCTGATCACAAGCTTCTTGCATGTCTTTACTCGGCTAGAGACCTGAATGCACAGCTGATGTACTGGGTATAATATAGGACCAGACATTATTTTTAAGTTAGAATGAAGAGAATGTATAAAGGGGAGTGTCACAAGATACCCGGCTAAGGAGGTGTGCTCACTAATTTAAACCGAATCATATAAAATGCCCAGTTGGATAGTTAGTAAAAATTTTGCATTGTGTCAGAGTGGTAGGACATGGTGGTAATCTCATATCCCTCAACCAGAGACAGAAGAGATTTGATTTTCTGGCTTCATGAAGCATTAAAAAAATAATGAGATTAACTGAGTATTGTTAATAGTGTCTGGGTAGTGATGAATGCATGCTGCCCATGAAAGTCAAGAGTGTCAGGTTGATAAATCATTTTAAAATTATGGGACCAACCCATTCATTGCATCTGGAGATTCGTTGCAATCAAACATGTCTTCAAGAGGCCACTTTTCATAAGACAAGCAAATAAACAGTTGTGCCTGTTTCTTCTAATGTTCCATTTATCTACAAAAATGGTTAAAACTTGATTCAAGTCACATTAAAGCAGTTGCCAGTCACCAAAAAATTTTCCCCTTGCACTATGAGCTAACTGGCCAAAATTTTAATTGCAATCTATCGCATGATGGAGCACTACAGTCTAGGTAGTCTAGGTGATATTCTGGTTTACTTACCTTCAGTCTCTTAGGAAATGGCTTTACTAGAGAATCCTGGTGATATTCTGGTTTACCATCATTCAGTCTTTCTAGCCAACTTGCTGTCTGGCTTTGTTCTAGAGTCTTCATTTCTGATGGTTTGTCCTTGTTGTGCACTTCATTGTCACCTTGTAAATCTGTACCTGTATGATGTCTTGTGTTGCAGGAGACTAACGACTCTTTCTTTATCACTTCCCTCATCGTGTCCTGATTGACACTTGCATCCTGTTGAGTCAAATTCTTTTTCAATACTTTTATAGCGTGGCCACTACCTTCACTGGCACCAGAACTCTCAGTTGTTCCCGAGTTATTTATCAGCTGTCGATCCTCATTTTTAAGTTCAGGGTCTTCTGGCACCAGATCTATTACTTTACCTGCTGTGCATACTGCATTGGTCTCATTTTTCTCATGTGTACCAACCAAATTCACAATTGGTATTATTTCATGTTCTTTGGTTTCACTCTTGGATTTTGCCTTTACACATTCTATCAGCCAAGTACACTTAACAAAAGCAGTCTCATGAAAATTGGACAGGTCAATCAATAATTTCAATTTTTCGCTATCTATAGACTCTTCAAAAATTACATGTGAAACCGATTCTGATGAGGTGGGCAGAGTTGTAACAATTTCACCTCCATGCTTCTTAATTAGATTTTTAAATATATTTAATCGTCCAGTACCAAAGTTTGCTGGATGAATGTAACATCTTACGTCAGAGAGAAAATTGAGACCTGATCCACTAGCATCGGTGTTCCTATCACAGAGATTGTTTACTTTCTTGCGAGATGTTGGTGTAAGTCTGCTTCTTCTCTTCATGCTGATATTATACCACACTCCTTGTTAACCTGAAAATGCCAATTTTTTTTTTTTTATTTTAATAATTTACTTCATACTGTTAATGCTCTTCTCAAATTTGTATATTAGAAGGCCCTTACTGTAAGCTGTGACCCTGAACCATAACTTTAAAAACTATAATCTCACCTATTTGTAACAGTTATTGTTGGCCAATAAATATTATTTTTATTTTTGCTGTCCAAGAAAAACAATTAATAAAAACAATTTCTTCAGGCTTAACTCTTAGCCTATGGAGATTGTAATATTACAGTATTGTTCTATGTTGTGTGTATTTTTTTTGTAGACAACATAAGTATAGCTTTAGATTATGAAGTGCCAACTCTGTACTGAAAAACTTACCAATTTCTTTGGTAAAAATTGAGAGTGGAATATAAAGAAATGCCCTTGTCTTAGTATTAATGTTGCCCAGTCTTAGCTAAACACACCAGGCCTAAGTCAGTGAAGCAACAAGGACCAGAACAGAAAAGACCTCACCAACAGTAACTGACAGACATCCAAAGAGAAAAACAGATGAACAGCCCACTAAGCTATCTCATACCAACTGGAAGTGCAGTTGTTCTGACAATGGGCGATGGCATACAATTTGAGTAGGGAGTCCGAATAAACAACCGAGCCTCTATTCTTCAGACTGAACTATTTGCCTTGCTTCTTGCACTGAAATGTGTACAAGTCTCCAAACTTAATACATTATTTGTAAGTGACTCTTTATCATCCTTAATTGCTCTCAACTCTTTAAGACTTAACTGTAACATACTCGTGTCTGAAGCTATACACAAATACAACGAAATTATTAATGATGGTAACAGAGTCCATTTCATGTTGGCCTCCGAATGCATGATAAAGCTGATGAGTTAGCCAAAGAATCTGTCTTTAAAGGAGAAATCGAGTATAACCTTGGAGTGTCCATATGCAGTCCGAGAGCAATAGTACTGTACACCAAGAATTTCAACAAAATCTTTTAGATCTGAGGCAAAGTGAAATCAACAATCGACAGTAATTCCATCTAACATCATACTATCAAGCATGAAGAGCCACACATCTATGGATCATCCAATAAAATCAGCGATGTTACTACTGCTTGGCTTAGACTCGGTTACAAGTATCTCTGGGAATTTTCATTATTTGCTGATGTAGACCTGACCAAATGTAAATTGTGTCAACAAAATTATTTGCACACCCAAATAGAAAAGATACATGAATTCAGAGACAATTCTATAACAAATGTTCAAGAGATGTGTAAATATTTCATTCAAAATTATCTGCTGCCAGAAATCTTAGACAAATATCTCCAGTTTGCTAACTGTAGGCAGTAACTGAGTGATTGTAACCCTATCCATCGCTGCCTAGTGGATGGGAGGTTATCTCGAGATGATTTCTGGGCTTAGCGTCCTCGCGACCCAGTCCTCAACCAGGCCTCCTTTTTGTTACACATCCCAGGAAGAAGTCCGTAGCAGCTGTCTAACTCCCAAGTACCTATTTACTGCTAGGTGAACAGACACATCAGGGTGAAAGGAACTCTGCAAATTTGTTGCCACCTTAGCTGGGGATTGAACCCAGAACATTAGGACTATGAATTCCAAGCACTGTCCACTCGGCCGTCAGGCCCCCAGGCAGTGTGCAGGATAAACATATAAATTGTGACACTACACATGTCAAAAAGGTGACACCCCTAGGGTCAACACTTGCAGCAGAGGAGCTCCAGCATATTTCAACAATCCTAAGTATTGTAGTACAGGTTGATGGTAGTGAGTGGTGTCCCACAGAACATAAAGGTATAGTGCTCTTGAAAAATAGGTGAGATAACAGGAAAGTGCTAAGGGAAGTGAAAAATCAGATGAGAAAAAGTTGCCCTAGTGTTTACAGTGCAGAGAAGAACATTCAAGATGGCCACTGGCAAGGGGAAAAACAAAACAGAGCTTGATTTTGAGGGATTCAATGAAGAAAGCATTGATATTAGTAGTCTACATAACAAGTTGGTAAATTTAGATACTATAGTGAACTCTCATGTAGAAATAATTAGTAAATTGAAAGAAAGTAATGACCATTTGAATAGCAAAGTTTTATGTCTTGAGGGTTTAGTGAAAGACTTGCGCAAGGATAAGAATCAATTGGAAACAAATTGCAAAGCCATGGAAGAAGAAAATAAACTCTTAAAAATAGCTTTGGAAGAAGTTAAAGTAAATTTAAACATAAATGACTACAATAGGTTAGGCAAGGAAATTCAACAGGAGAAACAGCTTTTGTCAGCACAGATGGAGGAAGTTACACAGGGAATAGAACAGTGCAAGAAAGATATGCAACTCACTTATGCACAAGTGGCCAAGGAGAAGGAAAAAATAGAAGAAGCAGTAAAGGAAGTCAAACACTGCAGCAACCAAGATAAAACAAACATTAGGCTAGAAGTGAGGAAAGAATTGGCATCTAACCCGAAGTTGGTGCAAAACACAGTTGATCGGAGTAAGTCCCTGATCATTTTTGGCTGCAAAGAAAAGGCGATAACATCTAGGTCAGAAAGAGCTGTAGAAGAAGCTAAAGTAGTAGATAAAATTGTTGGCCTCGTGGAAGGTCTTACAAACAGAGAGAATGTGTGCGACTACAGGAGAATAGGCAGGTACGTAAAAGGGAAAGATCGACCTTTGAGGATCACCCTAAACGGTGCCAAACAGATGGAAGAAGTACTAAGGAATGCTAGAAAATTGCAAAGGGATGAGGATGGGAAAGGGTGGTCGTTAAGACGAGATCTTTCAAAAGAAGATAGAGAGAAGCTGAAACTGAACCTCGCCGAGGCAAAACATTTAAATGAGAGCAGGAATGAAGAAGAAATAAATTCTTTTTTCTACAAAGTGATAGGGGTAGGCAAACCAGTAAAGTGGTACATAAAGGCAAACCAACAAAATCAATAGAGAGAGGGGGAGTGAAGAATAAGGAGAGGGGGAACAAGTTCCTGAAGATTGCATACACCAACATAGATGGAGTGAGATCGAAGATACTGGAGTTAAGTGATGTAATACAGCTGCAGACACCAGACATTGTTGCACTCACGGAGACAAAACTTGAAGATGTAATTTTAAATGAGGTCATATTCCCAAGGGGCTACTCAATTTGGAGACGGGACAGAAAAATTAGGAAAGGCGGTGGCGTTGCTGTGCTGGTAAAAGAACACCTAAAGGTGAAGGAAATAATGACTGCCAATCCACAAGAAGTTGACATAATAGCACTAGAGATCTGCTATGAGGATGATAAACTAATGATGATAAATGCATATAGTCCACCGCCAAGCAGCACATGGTCAAAGGAGGAGCTAGATAGTAAACGTGAAGGTCTTATAACAATAATGAGAGAGATTATAGCGAGAGCGGATAACGATAGATCACGACTGTTGATAGTCGGTGACTTCAACTTGAAATCCATAGACTGGGAAGCATATGAAGCTAAAACAGAAGATTTTTGGACCTGTAAATTTGTAGACCTCATCCTGGAAACATTCTTGTATCAACATGTTAAACAAGCTACGAGGATGAGGGAAGGGGACGTTCCCTCCATGCTAGATTTGATATTTACCAGGAAGGAGGAAGAGATATTTGACATTCAGTACCTTCCTCCCTTGGGTAAAAGTGACCATGTCTTTTTGGGAATAAAGTATGCAATGCGTTATAAGCTGGAAGAAAATAAGGAGGTTGAAGCAGTTGAAAAACCAGACTTCAGGAGAGGACATTATGGTGACCTTATAAATTTTTTTAGTGAGTATAATTGGACAGACTTGATGCTAGGCAAGGAAGTGAATGAAATGTATGGCAAGTTTTGTGAAATATATGATAAAGGCACAAAAAAATTTATACCAAAACAGAGATGCAGGACCAGAAAACAGGATTGGTTCGACAGAAATTGTGAGAGGGCAAGAGACCAAAAGACACAAAAATGGAATCAGTATAGGAAGAGGCCAAACCCCCAAACATACCAGCGATACAAAGATGCGAGAAACAATTATACAGCAGTAAGGAGAGAGGCAGAAAGAAATTTTGAAAAAGGGATAGCAGATAAATGTAAAACAGAACCGGGCCTATTCTACAAATTCATAAACAACAAATTGCAGGTAAAGGATAATATCCAGAGGTTGGAAATGGGAAACAGATTCACGGAAAATGAAAAGGAAATGTGTGAAACATTAAATGAAAAGTTCCAAAGTGTGTTTGTACAAAATGAAATCTTCAGAGAACCAGACACAATAAGAATTCCAGAGAACAACATAGAGCGGATAGAGGTGTCTAGAGATGAAGTGGAAAATATGCTAAAGGAGCTCGGGAGGAACAAAGCAGCTGGCCCAGATGGCGTTTCACCATGGGTTCTGAGAGAATGTGCATCTGAGCTCAGCATTCCACTTCACCTGATCTTTCAGGCATCCCTGTGTACAGGAATCGTAGCAGACGTGTGGAAACAGGCTAACATAGTTCCAATCTACAAAAGTGGCAGCAGGGAAGACCCCCTCAATTATAGACCTGTATCATTGACAAGTGTAATAGTGAAAGTATTGGAAAAGCTAATCAAAACTAAATGGGTAGAACACCTGGAGAGAAATGATATAATATCAGACAGACAGTATGGTTTTCGATCAGGAAGATCCTGTGTATCGAATTTACTCAGTTTCTATGATCGGGCCACAGAGATATTACAGGAAAGAGATGGCTGGGTTGACTGCATCTATCTGGACCTAAAAAAGGCTTTCGACAGAGTTCCACATAAGAGGTTGTTCTGGAAACTGGAAAATATTGGAGGGGTGACAGGTAAGCTTCTATCATGGATGAAAAATTTTCTGACTGATAGAAAAATGAGGGCAGTAATCAGAGGCAATGTATCGGAATGGAGAAATGTCACAAGTGGAGTACCACAGGGTTCAGTTCTTGCACCAGTGATGTTTATTGTGTACATAAATGATCTACCAGTTGGTATACAGAATTATATGAACATGTTTGCTGATGATGCTAAGATAATAGGAAGGATAAGAAATTTAGATGATTGTCATGCCCTTCAAGAAGACCTGGACAAAATAAGTATATGGAGCACCACTTGGCAAATGGAATTTAATGTTAATAAATGTCATGTTATGGAATGTGGAATAGGAGAACATAGACCCCACACAACCTATATATTATGTGAGAAATCTTTAAAGAATTCTGATAAAGAAAGAGATCTAGGAGTGGTTCTAGATAGAAAACTATCACCTGAGGACCACATTAAGAATATTGTGCAAGGAGCCTATGCAATGCTTTCTAACTTCAGAATTGCATTTAAATACATGGATGGCGATATACTAAAGAAATTGTTCATGACTTTTGTTAGGCCAAAGCTAGAATATGCAGCTGTTGTGTGGTGCCCATATCTTAAGAAGCACATCAACAAACTGGAAAAGGTGCAAAGACATGCTACTAAGTGGCTCCCAGAACTGAAGGGCAAGAGCTACGAGGAGAGGTTAGAAGCATTAAATATGCCAAAACTAGAAGACAGAAGAAAAAGAGGTGATATGATCACTACGTACAAAATAGTAACAGGAATTGATAAAATCGACAGGGAAGACTTCCTGAGACCTGGAACTTCAAGAACAAGAGGCCATAGATTTAAACTAGCTCAACACAGATGCCGAAGAAATATAAGAAAATTCACCTTCGCAAATAGAGTGGTAGACGGTTGGAACAAGTTAAGTGAGAAGGTGGTGGAGGCCAAGACCGTCAGTAGTTTCAAAGCGTTATATGACAAAGAGTGCTGGGAAGACGGGACACCACGAGCGTAGCTCTCATCCTGTAACTACACTTAGGTAATTACTAGCTTTCCATATTTGTCAGTTGCTTAATTTAGAAACTGTACTTGTGGTCAATCTTGAGCCCATTGTTGACATATGACGATATGCAATGAATTTTGTAACTTGCTCATCAAGATTGTAACTTACTTAGCTAAATAAATTGTGGGGACATTATATGCCTCTGTAACCCTTTCCACTACCACCAACAGGATGGGTATGGGGGGTACATAATAAATGAACTAAACTAACTACCAATACCATGAAAAAAATGCCAATGGGTCAGCCTGTACATCAAAGACACACTCATCTGCAATGAGCTGCTAAACACAAACGATATTGTGGATGTGCTGAAACTCAACATTGAAACTGGAAAATGATCACTGTCCTTATATATAAATCACCAGATGCAAATCCTCAGCAGTTTAACAACTAACTTATGATAATAGAACAATTAAGTTGAATTTACATTCTTGTAAAGCCACTAGTATGCATAGCATTTCGGGCAAGTCTTAAACTAACAGATAATTTGAAGATAATTAACAGTAAAATTGACAATTTTTTTTTACAGCCATTTGCCTTAAACTAGCAAATAGTAGAACAAACTCAAAAAAACTCAAGCATCCTAAATCTTATTTTGACAAGCAGTGATGAACTGACTAGGGACAATGATGACAAATATTGACCAAATTACACACACTTAGAAATTGAAGAGACGACGACGTTTCGGTCCGTCCTGAACCATTATCAAGTCTTCTTCTTCTTGATAGTTGGTGCAGTTTGCATGAAGGGTTTGTCCTCTCGATGACTGCTTTTATCAAGTAGATTGTGATGACAAATACACGTTACTGAGATGACACCACCCGTTGACGTTCGTGTACTTGCAATACAAGTGTGAAAGAGTTGCTAAAATCCTCCCACACATACACAGTTGACCGTCTTTACCGCTACATTTATATACATCTCTGCTGCCCCTTCTGTTTCATGATAATAATAATAACAAATATAAATAATGATTATACTTATAATATTAGTAATATTTTATTTACAAAAAAAATACTACAGAGGGTTTGATTACAATCTTTACGTGGAGTGGGTCGCACAAGATACAGTGCGAGTTTGAAACACTAGGTAGGAAACTATGAGGATGAAATTAGGTACTTATTCAAATAGAATAAGTTAGAATAAGGACAAACAGAAAACAACATATTTAGAATTGTTTAGATTATTATTGAATAAAATGTGAATTCCCGAGAGAATAAATTATTATTGATTAAAGTGTGAATTATCGAAAGAATAAGATTTTTTATTCAATTGATATCTTGACTGGTTTTTGCAATTTTGCTTGTAATAAGCAAACCTCAGTACACGGAAAACAAAAGTTTAATGAAATATTCATGATGTGCCGGTACATAACAAACTGTACTGTATAAAATCACATTGTTTACATCAAGTTGACAAGAAGGGATCCAAAGGCTAAAAGGACTGCTAATCAAATACAGGGAACCACTATTACTGCTACTTTCACAAGTACTAATATTTTTCTTACAGAAGGACTGATTACAATGTTTACATAGCAGTTATTTATATTTACATAAAGCCATAAATCATGTACACCGTGTGTGATTACCTGTTACAGTTTAGGATAATATTTATTACGCCAGTATCAGAGTATACCACATACCACTTACGTAAAGGCAGTACCAGAGTATACCACATACCACTTACGTAAGGGCAGTACCAGAGTATACCACATACCACTTGTATAAGGCCAGTACCAGAGTATACCACATACCACTTGTATAAGGCCAGTACCAGAGTATACCACATACCACTTACGCAAGACCAGTACCAGGGAATACCACATACAACTTAGGTAAGACCAGTACCAGAGTATACCACATACCACTAATGCAAGATAAGTCGGACCCAGAGTATACATCACCGGCATGGAACCCACACCACCTGGGCCAGGAATGTGACTGAGCACCAGAACACCTGCATCGTCCCCACAGCTGATAAACTAACGAGGCCCCCATTTATATACCGATGAAACAGTAACTTGTTCTGTCACATCCATTTGCTCAAAGCCTCATCTGAACTATCCATTTGTTCAAACGTTAAGCTGAACTACCCCTCTATATTCTAAGTCTTTAAATAACTAACTGTAAAGCCCCATTTTTTCTAGTTCTGGTGAGCCCGTAGTGGACCTACATGGTACGGGAGCTGGGCTGTGGTGAGCCCGTAGTGGACTAACCTGGCACAGGGGCGGGGCTATGGTGAACTCGTAGTGGGGGCTTACCTGGTACAGGAGCGGGGCTATGGTGAGCCCGTAGTGGACTTACCTGGCACAGGAGCGGGGCTATGGTGAGCCCGTAGTGGACTTACCTGGCACAAGAGCGGGGCTATGGTGAGCCCGTAGTGGACTTACCTGGTACAGGAGCGGGGCTATGGTGAGCCCGTAGTGGACTTACCTGGCACAGGAGCGGGGCTATGGTGAGCCCGTAGTGGACCTACATGGTACGGGAGCTGGGCTGTGGTGAGCCCGTAGTGGACTAACCTGGCACAGGGGCGGGGCTATGGTGAACTCGTAGTGGGGGCTTACCTGGTACAGGAGCGGGGTTTGGGTGAGCCCGTAGTGGACTTACCTGGCACAGGAGCGGGGCTATGGTGAGCCCGTAGTGGACTTACCTGGCACAGGAGCGGAGCTATGGTGAGCCCGTAGTGGACTTACCTGGCACAGGAGCGGGGCAATGGTGACCCCGTAGTGGACTTACCTGGCACAGGAGCGGGGCTATGGTGAGCCCGTAGTGGACTTACTTGGCACAGGAGCGGGGCTATGGTGAGCCCGTAGTGGACTTACTTGGCACAGGAGCGGGGCTATGGTGAGCCCGTAGTGGACTTACCTGGCACAGGAGCGGGGCAATGGTGACCCCGTAGTGGACTTACCTGGCACAGGAGCGGGGCTATGGTGAGCCCGTAGTGGACTTACTTGGCACAGGAGCGGGGCTATGGTGAGCCCGTATTGGACTTACCTGGCACAGGAGCGGGGCTGTGGTGAGCCCGTATTGGACTTACCTGGCACAGGAGCGAGGCTGTAACTCGGTTGTTTTTAAAGAACTACACTTGATAACGCTTGAGAACTAAAGGAGACGGACGTGGCGCAGAGGTTACATACACGCTGAGACTTAACACTCATGTTGTCATGTGATGTTGGTGGTAGTGTTATTGTTGTTGTTGGTGGTGCTATTGTTGTTGCTACTTCCAGTCCTACTACTGCTGCCACTGCTTAGCCAGACGCTAGCCTCTCAACACCTGAAAGCAACAAGACAATATTTATTCATCGATGTCATGCATTTAATACAACAATACCCATCTGAATTTCCATATAAACGAGTCATGCAACAACCAAAACAAATAAATAAATAAATAAATAAATAAATAAATAAATAAATAAATAAATAAATAAATAAATAAATAAATAAACAAGAGGCAATATAGACATAAATCTCGGCCTTAAAAAAACCCCAGCAAAGCTAAGGAGCCTGACGGCTGAGTGCACAGCGCTCGGGATTAGTAATCCTAAGGTTCCGGGTTCGAAATCCAGTGGAGGCGGAAACAAATGGGCACAGTTTCTTTCACTCTAATGCCCCCTGTTCACCTAACAGTAAATAGGTACCTGAGAGTTAGACAGCTGCTACGGGCTGCTTCCTGGGGTTGTGTAACAAAAAGGAGGCCTGGTCGAGGACCGGGCCGCGGGGACGCTAAGCCCTGAAATCATCTCAAGATAACCTCAAGGAAGGAGTCGAGGCGTCATAGGGGCCTCGCTGGGAGGTCATGGAGAGCGAGTCACCTTTGGCTTGGGGTACACCCGGACCCCTTCGCGAGGTCGCCTGTGTCTCAACACACGCCCGGTTACGATAAGCGCGAAATATTACACAAATATATATAAAAATATTAACTGCACCCTCATCTTGCCCTTGGGAGATTGTACTTTATCTTGAGCTTGTGAGAAGCCCCACTTAGAGTATGTGACACTACACAGAAGCCTCACTTATATTATGTGACACTTCACAGAAGCCCCACTTAGAGTATGTGACACTACACAGAAGCCTCACTTATATTATGTGACACTTCACAGAAGCCTCACTTAGAGTATGTGACACTACACAGAAGCCTCACTTATATTATGTGACACTACACAGAAGCCCCACTTAGATTACATGATCCTACACACAGAGGACGTCGAATAAATAATGGGTCTCCCATTAAATGTGTTCGGACTTTCATACCTGACGCCTTAACTGTCACTCCGTGTCGTCCCTTAGTGCTCTTAGCTGCCAGAGACATAATTGCAACTTGCTCGTGTCTGAAGCCAGGCACAGAAGTGACCAACTGAGATGGGCTCAGAGTCAATTGTATATAAGTCTCGCCTCATATCGCCCTCGTATGCATGATATAAATGATGAACTAGCCATTAACGAAGCTATCTTGGTCAAGATTATAATCCTGGACTGCCCATTTAGCAGTCTGAGGTGTAATGTGTCGAGGATATAAATATAATTTCGTAGGCCTGAGACAGAGGGGAAAAATCTATACCAGATGTCCCGTCACCCATAACATTAATATGCAAGAAGAGCCCCGTATATATATACATCGTTCATACTACACTGGTTGTATGATACAACACAAACTACACTGGTTAACATTCCTTCGTCCGGAAGAGGGGCTTCTTCCCTTCGTCCGGAAGAGGGGCTTCTTCCCTTCGTCCGGAAGAGGGGCTTCTTCCCTTCGTCCGGAAGAGGGGCTTCTTCCCTTCGTCCGGAAGAGGGGCTTCTTCCCTTCGTCCGGAAGAGGGGCTCCTTCCCTTCGTCCGGAAGAGGGGCTTCTTCCCTTCGTCCGGAAGAGGGGCTTCTTCCCTTCGTCCGGAAGAGGGGCTTCTTTCCTTCGTCCGGAAGAGGGGCTTCTTTCCTTCGTCCGGAAGAGGGGCTTCTTCCCTTCGTCCGGAAGAGTGGGCTCCATCACTTCGTCCGGAAGATCCGAGAAACAATTAAGCCTCGTGGCTACGTCAAAGGGCTGCCCTGCCCTGGCGCTGCGAGACAGGTATACGCGGGCGAGCTATGAGTGAGGTATAAGGATTGATTGATGAAGATTAAGCCACCCACAAGGTGGCACGGGCACGAATAGCCCGTAGGTGGTGGCCCTTTTGAGCCATTACCAGTATCAATAGATGATACTGGAGATCTGTGGAGGTGCGACTGCACCCTGCGCGACGGGAGATGTCTCCCGTAAAGTATAAGGAGCGAGTGTGAGTGACATAAGGAGGCCAGACTATGAGGGTGAAGCTGTGAGTGAGGCGGTGGTAGCTATAGTTACGAGGTGGAGAGAGGGGGCGACCCCGAGAGAGTAGAGGTTGCGGAAGACAATCAGTAGGTGGTAAAGGGCAGGTGAACCTAACAGGTGGAGTGTTCCCAGGACGCTCATGGCTCGGCATGGGTCTCCAACACCCTACACACTCCAACACCACCTGCTACTTCGCCTCACCCATCCACGCTCCTGTTCTTATCACAGCTGATGAGAGGCACATCACCCATTTTATCAAGATATTAAACAATATGAAACTACTTGAAAAACAGTTTTCCATGAGTCCAATGTCTCATTACCTAGCCATCTCAACTCCCTTCCTCCTCAAAGTCAATTAGAAACGTCAGTGTCATTAGGGTCGCCTCAGGGCTCTGAGAGCTATGTTCTGGAATGGTCATAAGGCTTCCATGGCCATTAATTACACACAGCATGTGTGCTCTGTCAACAATATTCTCCACCAGAGTTACGCATACATCCTTACTCGATATAAAGCTGGAAAACATTCAAAATAAATCATGATAATCAATCTTGAGTCCCACAATCTTCCAAGACATCGAATCTACGACAAGAACTAAGTCTTAAGGGATTGAATCCTAAGCTTGCTAAGGACTCAAACTTCAATAATGATAAGAGTTAGTTCAGTTCATATGTTATGCACCTCATACCCATCTTGTGGGTGGTAGTGAATATAGTTACAGAGGCACTTAATGGGCTCAGGGACTGAACCCCACAATTCATTTAGCTAAGCAAGTTACAATCTTAATGAGCTAGTTACAAAATTCAATACACATCGTCACATCAACAATGGGTTCGAGATCGACCACAAGTACAGTTTCTAAATTAAACAACTGACATATGTGAAGAGCTAATGTCACAATTGATATGTTTGTCCTGCACACCGCCCCCCATCCAGTGGGCAGCGGTGGATAGGTTACAGTCACTCAGTTACTACCTACAGTTAGCAAACTGATAGAATCTATTAAAAAACCGAATACGGCGTACACCCCTACTTATGGCACTTAGAGGGTGCCATAGGAAGGGGCAGAGAGATGCCATAGCTAGGGGCGTAGGGATGCCATAGGTAGGGGCAGAGGGGTGCCATAGGTAGGGGCGGAGGGATGCCATAGGTAGGGGCGGAGGGATGGCAGTAATCTACATGCAGCAGGCGGTCAGCCACCAGCAGGAGGTATATAAGACATGCTAGCCGTGGTTGCCCATCACTCGAGTCATATCTCTGTCGACGATCTCACACCATCCACACGATGAGGACGACTCGACAACTAGTGGTGGTGGTGCTGTTGCTGCTGGGCTCGGCTCAGGCGACCCTTTATCAGGACTGCGGTGAGAAACTCTACACATTACGGGCTATTCATACCCGTGCCATCTCTTGGGTGGCTTAATCTTCATCAATCAATTAAACTCTACATAAAGGCCTAACGCATACATTCTTCGAGAGGCGTACCCATTTCTCGGTGTACTGTATATACACTGAAAATATATTTAGTTTTGAGTTACGTTCAGCCCTAAAATATACTCGTTAGTTGGTCAGTAAAGTTATAGTGTTGGTGTCTATAATCCTCTCGTGGTTGATAGGTTTTAAGCCCAGCTCCAAAACCAGGCCTATCCTATATTAGGCCTTGTATTATGCATTATATTAGGCCTATGAGTTTGGTTGTTGTCTTCTTTCTAGTCTTTTATAAACCCAATAGTACAAAACTAGACTTTTCTGGGGGCGTATTTAGCCAAATTGTGTACATATAAAACACAGTCACTATGTGTATTATTAGTATATATGTATTATTGTAGGAGCACACATTGGTGTCTTCACACATGATAAAACGGTATTACACTGAGTAGCACTGAACAGATTTATATAAACAAACATACCGTAGTTTAATTGGCTTACAAAAGTACTATTATATTATACAATGATTCGTAACAAGTAGATAAAGTATTTAATGTTTATATTGAAGCTATTCTGTGAATCTAGCAAAGTTTAGTATATATATATATATATATATATATATATATATATATATATATATATATATATATATATATATATATATATATATATATATATATATATATATATATATATATATTTGTGTGCAAAACCTGAATGGTTCTCAAGCACATTAATCCCTTTAACTGTATGACCCCTCAGAGGATTCGAACCCAGGCTTCCAGGAATCTCCCCCATCAGTAGCACTGGTACTTTGACAACTGCACCAGCGACCAAGCGACCAATACACATATATAAAGTCTTTACAGATACACTTTCATAAATGCTTAATTTTGTGTATTATTTGATGTATTTGTTTGTACTTTCCAATGATATGAAATAAAATGACTTTGCATTCGCATTTGTAAGAATTGCAAGATTTATAAGAATTTGCAAGAATTTGTAAGAACCTGCATATTTGTAAGAGTTGCAATCATATATGTTTTAAGGTTTAATTGGTTCCTATAATGCAGACACGTGTTACAATCAGTAAATAGTAAAGAAATTTAAATATATATATATATTTTTTTTTAGAAAAAACCCGGCTGGGGCCCCTTTTTAATTAACACAAAAGCCGAGTGTCGTGAGGAAAGAGGAGGAAAGATTTCGAACATGAAAACCGTCTGATAATGACGGCTTTCTCTCGCCCTCAATTATGAAACAAGATTTGGTGTGTCGACTTTTTTATGGAAACTTCTGTATGCTTATATATGGTTGTGTGACAGGCTCGGACGCAGAGATTCAAGAGCTGGTTGTCCAGGACTGCGACATCCCTCCTTGTGTTATACACCGCCCCAGTTCCCAGGACCTTAATATCACCTTCATCCCAGGTAAGTCAGTCATGATATAATAATAATAATAATAATAATAATAATAATAATAATAATAATAATAATAATAATAATAATAATAATAATAATAATAATCTTTATTTAGGTAAAGGTACATACATAAAGAGATTTTACAAAGTTTGTTGGCTTTATAGATATAGCTAGTACATACAATGCCTAAAGCCACTATTACGCAAAGCGTTTCGGGCAGAAAAAAACACTAATGACTAAAGCTTATCTCTTATCTCTCCCTCTAAAGCTGATCTCTCTCTCTCTCTCTCTCCAACCCCTTAAAATTCTTTGCAGCACTGTTATCAAAACTGCTATATAAACGATCCTCAGTGGACTTACAGATATTATATTGTATAACACATGCTATCTCTCGTGTATCACTGTCCAGATCTAATAGTTCAAGATGCAAGACAAGCAGTACATAAGAACATAAGAATAAGGTAACTGCAGAATGCCTATTGGTCCATACGAGGCAGCTCCTATTTATAACCACCCAATCCCACTCATATACATGTCCAACCCACGTTTGAAACAATCGAGGGACCCCACCTCCACCACGTTACGTGGTAATTGGTTCCACCAATCAACAACTCTGTTACCGAACCAGTATTTACCCAAGACTTTCCTAAATCTAAACTTATCTAATTTATGTCCATTGTTTCGTGTTTTATACCCAGTATTTTCCACAGCTGAAGCTATTAGCAAGCTTCAGTTTATATCGGTGCATATTATACAACGCAGTAAGTACACAATGAAATCACAGTAACACTATATGTCTATGAGAAAATCTTTAGAGCAAGGCAGTGGAATTGAACCCTGCGTCGACGATTCCCCGGTTCGATTGCACTGCCCATATTCAAAGATTTCCTTAACACAATATAGGAATTCCTATGCAGACGACGAGTCACAATAACGTGGTTGAAGGTATAATGACCAAACATATCTGAAAATGGAATTTCTGTTTCTTTCCAGCTCATCCAGCGAATAAGCTAGATACGATCATCAACGCCAACATCGGCGGCGAAAACTTTCCCTGGCCCGGCCCCAGCGGCTGCCCACTATTGGTCGACGAGTCCTGCCCAATTGAGCCCGGGCATAGTTACAAATACCACGCTGTCATGCCCGTCTATGCCGAGTACCCAGCGGTCAGTAATTCTCTCTCTTTCTCTATATACACAGTGCTTCTTTGAGCCCTGATACACACATCACATCTTGGGGCCCCTAAGATGTGTATCAGGGCCTTAAGATGTGCTATGTACTTGGACCCAACTTTCTACCTTTTATTCCAACAGTTGTCGGTGATTGTGACGTGGAAAGTCCAGGATGAGAATGGTATAAACCACGTCTGCCTCGTCTTCCCCATAGTTCTCGTCTGACGTGTGAACCACGCCTGCCTCGTCTTCCCCCATCATCCTCATCCGACGTGTGAACCACGCCTGCCTCGTCTTCCCCCATCATCCTCATCCGACGTGTGAACCACGCCTGCCTCGTCTTCCCCCATCATCCTCGTCCGACGTGTGAACCACGCCTGCCTCGTCTTCCCCCATCATCCTCATCCGACGTGTGAACCACGCCTGCCTCGTCTTCTCCATCATCCTCGTCTGACGCGTGAACCACGCCTGCCTCGTCTTCCCCATCATCCTCATCCGACGTGTGAACCACGCCTGCCTCGTCTTCCCCCATCATCCTCGTCCGACGTGTGAACCACGCCTGCCTCGTCTTCTCCCATCATCTTCGTCCGACGTGTGACGACCAAGCGCTCGATGGCGAGAAGAGATCTGTACTGTGTAGTAGATGGATAGACCGCTTAGCGAGAACTTTTTGTTTTCGGCAAATTCCTCGCTACGGTCTCAAGGAGTTCTTAAGGGGAAAGATACTCGCTGTGGTCTTAAGGAATTCTAATGGGGAAAAAATTCCTCGCTGCAGTGTTAACGAATTCTTATGGAGAAAATTTCTCGTTAAGCTGCACCGCGTTTAAAAGAGAAATTATATTCATAGGTTGTCCATTTTCAGAGGATATGATAATTAGGAGTGTATGAAGTAATTAATAATGCCAGATGTTAGTTCTTGGACCCACCTCTTAATGTTTATAAGTGTAGTTTCATTACTACCAATGTAATTATCGTAAGGTTTAAAACATTCGATTTTTTTTATTTGCCTATCGATAGGTACAGCTATAGTAGGCGGCTTGACATCAGCAAGGCACTACACATCAAAAAGTCAACACCAGCAATCAACAGCCAATTAATGCACAACTATATTCTACCTACTTCAAGACCCCGGATCAATATGCAAGTAGCAAGAGAAAGTATGGGCCAAAATAGGCCTTCTGCAGTTACTTCCATTCATATGTTCACTTATCCAACTTATACCCATTGTTTCGTGTTCTGTCTTGTGATTGTCACCTCACCCAAAACTTTTGTACCATGTCACCTCATCCAATAGAGTATAAGTATAAAGAATTTGTGTGTAAATTAAGTCTGAAAATATAATACGAATTACGAAACGCGTAATTGTCAGACAATTAAAAAATGAATTTCGGAGAATTGTTATTTATATTACCACCGACAGTGAAGAAAAACATAAGAAATATTGAGAAGATTCGTGTTAGAATTATTAATCTTACCTTTTCGGTCATATTCAACAACATATATATATATATATATATATATATATATATATATATATATATATATATATATATATATATATATATATATATATATATATATATATATGTTGGTTAGCATTGCAAATATGTGGCCACGTCTGTGGTAAAAAAATAAAACTTCACTGAGGGAACAGTTGTGATGGCGGCTACCCCCTACCCCCCACACCACACCGGTGGAACATACCGCACTGTTTTGGCAGCCACTGTTCTGCTTCTGGGATTCCCCATTACCCGTGTGTATAAGTGTTGACGCCTATTGGTAGAGTGTACTTTATTTTTTATTGTATTTTATATATACAAGAGTCGTTACATTCTTGTACAGCCACTAGCACGCGTAGCGTTTCGGGCAAATACTTAATCTTATTTTTGCCCCGGATTACGACCCGCCAAATCTTTAACAACCAGGTACCCATTCACTGATGGGTGAACAGAGGTGTACAGTTAAGGATTGGCGCCCAGTCAATCCTCCCCCGGCCAGGATACGAACCTAGACCAAAGCAATCATGTCGCCCGCTCGTCCCCTGAATAGAGTTATGATTAATTCAATTCAATTTCTTTATTATCCACCCCATACCCAACCCGTGTGCGGTGGTGTAAAGGATTACAGAGGCATATAATCGGTTCAGGAACTGAACCCTCTAGTTCGTTTAGCTAAGCAGTTATGATCAAACAGTCTTCTTACGCATCCACGGGTCGTGTCGTAACACAGACTCTTAAGCCCACTACAGGTAAAGCCCAGCTTAACTTAAATAATATATATAATACCTGGGAACATTAGATACACATATATGTGTACAACATGTCCTGTTGTATGCATATATATATATACACACACTTTACAGCCTGTATACCTGATAGGGACTTGCCCACCCTCATCAACCTCTAACCATTGTTTTCTTGACGTTAATGACTGATCGGACGCTTCCAGTTGTAATTAATTCTGAAATTATGTATTTGTTGCCCTTTGCGATGGCTCTGTAACCATGAATTTAATATTCATGAGCGTTACACACAGAAATCACAATTACGTGATGCATCAAATGTTCTGATTATTCTGATTATAGATTAAGACAGCGTCTGGTATGCTCTCGAATCCTCGTCACAGCCCTTGTAGATTTGTTCATGAGCGTTGTTCATGTGAATGTGACGCGACAACTGTTCAGGTATTGTCCCGCCTGACATATGTTCTTTCAGGTATTGAAGCTACTCCAGTTTACCCAGGACTCTCCCGTAAGATCAGGAGCCAGCTATAGCAACACACTTAAGAGTCTCGTGAAGAAACTCGAACACTAGCCAGAGGAGGCTATACAGGATGCGGGATATATGTGACACATGTGGCTACGAGCCAGGTCAAGTCAGCTGTTGAGACCACTAACCAGGTCAAGTCAGGTCTTAACTCACTGGGGGGAGAAAAGGGGTTGCCTAGTTGTGATGCCGGTTACCCACCATGTCACCTCACTTGGGGGGACACGGTCGGGATGGGGTCCACCCCGACCCCTCAACTCACCGAGAAAACATACCACAGTCTTGGCACCCCACTTCACAAGTACGGGGATTCCCCATTACGTGTGGGTCGTACAGTATACAGCATCAGCTTTTGGTCCATAGGAATTTTAAATATACTTATATACATATACAGTATATCGCCCAAGGCTTATGTGGTATTCTTAATATATACGCTGAGGCTGTATAAGCATCGACTCTGGGGGGAATGCTTTCAGGGAGTATCTTGCTTCAAAAAGCTGTCACTTTGAGGGATCCGAGGAGCCGTGAACATTGTCGACATGTATTTTTATTTTATGTCAGTCATACCGCAAAGGAAAGCTTGGGGAAAGAAATTATATACCGTATTTCTGTAGCATCGTAGTTTGAGACGGCTGGAGTTGCTGTGAGGGAGCATGGGTTACCTCAAGTTTACCTCACACCTCAGTAATTATGAGGGGTGGTGAGGAACACGGGACACAAGGCTTACCTCACACCTCTGGCTGTGAGGGAGGGGAGGGGAGGGGCAAGAGAAGTGAGGAACATGGGACACCAAGTTGACCTCACACCTCAGAACACTTTCATCTCAAAGAATTGGCCATTGGCGACAAGCCTGAGTAAATAGGCCAGGTGTACCAACACACAGCAACACGAGCGTGGCTCTAATCCTGTAACCACACCTAGTTAATTACTCTTAGGTAACTACACTTACCAACGTTGTTTTCTCTCCGAACATCTACCACTTACGGGCTACTCATGCCCGTGCCACCTCTTGGGTGGCATCAATCAATCAATCTCTCTCCCATCACAATCGACTTGATAATGGTCCAGAAAGGACAACAACGTCGCCGTTTCTTCACCCTCTTGTGAGTGGTTTGGTCATCAACACAAGGAACTACGCCTTTTCTAATGTTCATGTGAGAGATGTGTCTTTCATTGCAGTCAATCATCGTCTGTCTTAGTGCAATATTTCAACAATGTTGAAGTACTAGTAGCAGTTCTTGCAACACGGTGATAGGCAGACTGGTATGGAGGCTTGGCCCAAGCCCAGAATGTGAGTGGTGGACGCATCCTGCAGCCTCTCCTCCAGTCGGTACGTCTATTTCCGTGAGCACGCCAACGCTGCTGCTACTGACCAGACCTGGAGGAGCGCGCTCGCCCGTGGACCCCCACCCCCATCCTACCGTGCCCGGGCTGTATTTACATTGTTTTAAGCCTGCAGGATCGAGCTGTTAACTCTTGTACTTCCCCCTCTCATATCATCGGTTGTCGGGTGTAATGTGGCAGCCTTCCTCTTGCTCCACACCTTGTAGCCTTCCTCTTCCTCCTCACCCAGGTGTGGCAGCTTTCATCTTGCTCCACACTCGGTTGTGACACCCTCCACACCCTTATTATAACACCCTCCATCACTCCACACTCGGGCTGGAATGTGGATAACATGTGGAATCCAAGTTTACCAATATTCCATTGGCTGAAATCTTTGATATTCACAATAATATTTTGCTTTCTGAATCAAATAATTCTGGTTCACTCTTACATTAATTTAAAATTGCTTCTTCAACTCGATTTCTTGTACAGTAATCAACCGCATTGGCAAGTTAAGATGCAGCCATGGGGGCCGTCTCTATTCAACCAAAGAACGTCGCTTTTCGCTCGTTGGCGTTACATACGGCCAAAAATCGTCGTACTAGAAAATGGAAGCGGCTGGCGGAAGTGACATACTGTCTCATTTTCTGTTTTGGGTCCTCTGGTAGGTTGGGAGAGAACACTTTACATTTACCGTTTTCTTGACGCTGGGAACCTTAGGAGGACGGGCTGCTACATTAGAACTTTCTTTGGTTGATACTTTTTTATGACGTGTGTAAATGTGACTTGATGACTTGCCTCAAAGTTTTAAATTAGCGTTTTGTACAGCAACAGCCCCGCTCCTGTGCCAGGTAAGTCCACTACGGGCTCACCATAGCCCCGCTCCTGTGCCAGGTAAGTCCACTACGGGCTCACCATAGCCCCGCTCCTGTGCCAGGTAAGTCCACTACGGGCTCACCATAGCCCCGCTCCTGTGCCAGGTAAGTCCACTACGGGCTCACCATAGCCCCGCTCCGGTGCCAGGTAAGTCCACTACGTCCTCACCATATAGGCTCCTGTGCCAGGTAAGTCCACTACGGGCTCACCATAGCCCCGCTCCTGTGCCAGGTAAGTACACTACGGGGTCACCATAGTCCCGCTCCTGTGCCAGGTAAGTACACTACGGGGTCACCATAGCCCCGCTCCTGTGCCAGGTAAGTACACTACGGGGTCACCATAGCCCCGCTCCTGTGCTAGGTAAGTACACTATGGGCTCACCATAGCCCCGCTCCTGTGCCAGGTAAGTACACTATGGGCTCACCATAGCCCCGCTCCTGTGCCAGGTAAGTACACTATGGGGTCACCATAGCCCCGCTCCTGTGCCAGGTAAGTACACTACGGGGTCACCATAGCCCCGCTCCTGTGCCAGGTAAGTACACTATAGGGTCACCATAGCCCCGCTCCTGTGCCAGGTAAGTACACTATGGGCTCACCATAGCCCCGCTCCTGTGCCAGGTAAGTACACTACGGGGTCACTATAGCCCCGCTCCTATGCCAGGTAAGTACACTACGGGGTCACCGTAGCCCCGCTCCTGTGCCAGGTAAGTACACTACGAGGTCACCATAGCCCCGCTCCTGTGCCCAGGTAAGTACACTACGGGGTCACCATAGCGCATGCTATTTGCAACTTTTTGTTCAGAGTAGCTGAATCTAAAACAATAACAGCAGTTTATAAAATATATGGTGACGATATCGCAACCCATTCTCCGAATAAACAGTACGTTTTAATACTAAATGCAATAAGTACATTTTCTGATTGTCATGCATAGTAAAAAAAATTGCAATTATGGTTCTGTTACATTTACCAACCCATTTATTCTCCTTGTTTTCTGTTAAAACGCTCAGAATTTTTTTCTGTATGTG